TATATGTGTTTCACCTGGTATCATAGACAGGTTTTACAGCGCTGCACATTTATATACTTTCTATGTTTTGACCTGTTATTGCAATGTTTACCTTGATTCCTTACTTTTAAAGGTAACCTTTACAATGTACATATTTGCAGTGCCTGTCACTGCACACTCCTTGCTCAACAACTGAGATGAAGGGGTAGTCAATGAAATGGTTGAGACATTTAAAAAAAGTGTGAATACTCCAATCATTCAGTTGTGAGAAAATCAGGTACGCATTATTGGGTATTCAAAGTGAACAGGAATTTGCTTTTCACATGATTGGATAATTGAAGTAAGAATTCATACACATTTTTGAAAGCATAAGGAGGGGGCTTTCAATCACTAAGACCTGACTGGTAGACTTGCAGAGAAGGAGAATAACAGCATGGCACAACAACAACTTATAGACAAAAAAAGATTTGAAAAAAAATGCTAAAATATCAGTATTCAGACTGATACTGTTTGATAACTTTTAAATGTATATCTAAAAACATTTTAAAGATAATTTTTATTGAAATTGTTATTTTGGCTATATACTGTATATTTCCATTCCTGAGATTATTTCAGTCAGAAAAATCAAAATTGAGTACATCTTTTTTTAAAGATGATATTGGGGTTTATTTACCAAAGCTGGAGAGTGCAAAATCAGGCTCATTTCTGCATAGAAACTAATCAGATTCTAACCTCAGCTTGTTCAATTAAGCTTTGGCAATAAAACCTGGAAGCTAAACAATTTTGATGCAGAAGTGAGCTTGATTTTGCACTCTCCAGCTTTAGTAAATAAATCCCTTAGTCTTTTAAATGAAAATATGCACTACAAATTAAGTATTACATACCTTTTCATTGCTGGTAATAAGCAGACAATCTTTAGTAGGATCGTTGGCAGTAGGTGAGGTGTCAGTGTCAATAAGACTACCTGTGGGGACATTCTGGACTGGTTTCAGATAAGCAATTTCATTTAGCTTTGAGTCCAGTGTGACACACACATCGTATGAGAATGGAAAAGGCAAACTTGTGTCACTTATCTCAGAAGGACATCCCAAGGTAAACTGAGGATACACATTTCCCCCAATAGTTCCAAAAGATGGCTGTGTATTTGACTTTCTGCATTTAAAGAATACTGTAACAACCACTGTTACAATAAAAAAAAGACAAATCAAACCTATGGAAACTATCAGGTAGAATGTGATATTGGTAGATGATTTTGAATCATTAGGCTTGTATATTATCTCTGGATGAACCTGCTGAAAGTTTTCTGCAACAACTAGAGTTAAAGAAACTGTGGATGATAAAGAGGGAAGTCCATTGTCTTTTACCATTACAACAATTTTTTGCCTTAAAGATTCCACATCTGGAAGTTCCTTCCCAAGCCTAATTTCACCAGTGTATTGATTGATTGTAAATATTGAAGGATCCTGAACTTGTAGTAAGTGATATGAAAGCCAGGCATTGTGTCCAGAGTCAGCATCTACTGCAATAACTTTGGTCATAAGTAAACCCTTCTCTGCTGAGTAAGGAATAAATTCAAATAATGCAGATCCCTCATTTTCAGGTGATGGGTAGAGAATCTTAGGAGCATTATCATTCTTATCAACTATACATATCCTTACAGTCACATTACTGCTTAGAGGAGGAGACCCACTGTCCTTAGCCATCACTTGAAACTGAAATTCACGTAACTGTTCATAGTCAAATGATCTTTGAGCATAAAGAACCCCAGTCATTGAGTTTATGGAGATATAGGAGGACACTGGCAATTCTTCAGTATTATTGGTTAACAAAGAATAAATAATTTTTGCATTTTGGTCATGGTCAAGATCAGATGCACACATCCTGTACACAGAGGTTCCAAGCAAATTATTTTCTTGAATATAGATAACATAATTTGATTTCTCAAACATAGGAGAATTGTCATTCACATCTGAGATTGACAGTTTTAGAGTTTTGGTAATTGACAGAGGTGGTGATCCGCTATCCACAGCTTTGATGGTTATGCTATAGTTACTGACTCTTTCCCGGTCCAAGTTGGCTGAAGTAACAAGTTTGTAATAATTAGTAGATGATGGGAACTAATTGAAAAGGTGACTTATCAATAATCTCACAAAGAACTTCTCCATTTTCTCCTGTGTCCATGTCAAAAATATTGACAAGGGCTATAACTGTTCCAAGTGGTGAATTCTCAGGAATCGATGCCAAGAGAGATGTTATTATTACTTCTGGGATATTATCATTAACATCAGTAACTTGTATAAAACACTTTACAATGAGCAGTCAGACCTCCTCCATCTTTAGCTTCCACTGTAAGCTCAAATCTATCTTTCTCTTCATAGTCCAACTTTCCAATTAAAATTACATCTCCTTTTAAGGGGTCAATGGCAAACAGGTTCTGTGCATTTGCAGGAACTTCAATAAGTGCGTAACTTATTTGTGCATTAACTCCTTCATCCACATCAGTAGCATTTAACTGAAGAATTAGGAAACCACTTTGTGCATTTTCATAAAGACGTACCTGATAAATGTCTTGGCTAAATTGGGGAAAATTATCATTTACATCATGAACCTTCATCTTTATTAAAGCTGTCCCACTCTTAACAGGTTTTCCACCATCAAATGCTGTTAGGATTAATTCAAAATAGTTTTGCTTCTCACGATCAATGGGTTTGTCCAGCACAAGTTCAGGATACTTTTTCCCATCAGAAGCAATTTTTTCTCCCAGATTGAAAAAGTCATTATCACTGAGCCTATAACCTTGCAATGAGTTAACACCAAGATCTGGATCTTTTGCTGTCCCAAGAGCAAATCTTGTTCCAGGTAAAACAAGCTCACTCATTTCTAAATCAAATATGTTCTTGGAGAATTGTGGTGAATTATCATTGACATCTTGTATGTAAACTATAACTGTGTAAAAATTCAATGGGTTTTCAATTACTAATTCAACAGTTAAAGAGCAAGCATGCTGGTCCCCACACAATTCCTCCCGGTCTATTCTTTCTATAATGTACAGATCTCCACTCTGTAAATTAATGTTAAAATACTGTTTCCTAGCAGGTGACACAATCTGTAACTTTCGACTTGATAAGTCCTTAATGCTCAAATTCAGATCCCTTTCGATATTTCCAAATTTAGATCCTTGTTTTAGTTCTTCGTCTATAGTGTACTGAAGCTGAGCATTTACAAAATTACACAGAATAAGAATCAGAGAAAATATCACTTGCCATGCCATTGTACTGCTGACGACTCTGCACCTCTTCTTCACTCTTCCTATTCAGAATAAATTTTAAATAATTTGCAATCCTGTGATTAGTGTAGTTATGGAAAAAAAAAATTAATTGTGTGAGATCCTGCATATAGATTATAATGCTGCTCCGATGTGCAATGCAAGATTGTAGTTGGGTTTAGAATAGCCTTACTACACATTTTGTTTGTACAAATTTACTTGTGGTCTACAGTGACATCTAAAGGTTGAAATCAGGAAATGCAAGAAAGGTAAAAGAAGATAACAGCTTATGCCAATGAAATTTAATTTTATTAAAATATACTATATATATATATATATATATATATATATATATATATATATATATACATAATATTGTTTGATCATTAAAAAATTAGCAGACAAATGACAAGCATGAAACATGATAGAAAGTTCTCCCAAGGTATGTTATCACTGACACCCACCTAAATTTTGTTTGGCTTGGAGAAAAAGTTATATTTTTGACAGATAAAGAGGCCATGTCTTACTTAATACATACAGTTTCACAATATTAGCCATCACAATTGTACTAATCAATATATGTAAAAAATCTATAACTATATACTGAATAGCCACACAATAGAAAAATATTTTTGATACAAACTTTAAAGGCTAGGTAAATTTTGGAAAAACAAATAAATGCACATGTTTTGAAGGGGAAAAAAATGTGAATTTGTTATTTTCTTTTTTTTTACAGGAGCCTGAAAAGCATTGCACCCACGATCAGTGGAGGAAGTATCAATAGACTACAAGTGTGCAGATTAGCGCACTCAGAGTCCATTGAGAACAACAAGTCTGTTTGCCACAGTGGAAGACAGAACTTGTAGTTCATTCATTCACAGATCTCTGTTATTGAATGGTGCGAACGTGCAACAGGAGCCCTGTACAGCCGCTTCAATTTTAAATGTGACGGCTGCTGTGGAGGAAGATTCCTCACCCGATGTCACGGGGAAAGGGGGGGGGGATTACTTGAGGATGGGACGTGAGGAATTTGTACTATATTACATGTTACACCCTAAATACAGATATAACTTATAACATTGTGTAAAAAGTGAACTTAGCCTTTATGAATACCAAAAAATTAATGTAGCAGTAAGAGTATCCATTTCACATGTTTAAATAACAATTTAATGATGCTTTCTATTAACATTGTACACATATAAAAAGGAATCACAATTTTATCAAACATTGGTATATTGTATCTTACCTGCATGTTGCTCGTAGAGAGGGCAAGCCATTGTTAGCAGGAACATCCTCTGTGTCAATCAAACTGTCTGTGGGGACATTCTGGAGTGGTTTCAGATAAGCAATTTCATTCTGCTTTGAGTCAAGTGTTACACACACATCATATGAGAATGGAAAAGGTAAACTTCTATCACTAATTTCAGATGGACACCCCAAGGTGAACTGTGGATAAACGTTTCCACTTAGCATTCCAGAGGCTGGAGGAACACATGTTTTTTCTGCATTTATATATTGCTGTAATCATTGCTGTGACAATGAATAGCAAAGAAATGAGAGCTATTGCTATTACAAGGTATAAAGTAACATTCGATGAAGCTTCAGAATTACTGGGATGAAGTTTAATCTCCGGAACAGCAAGGTGAAAATTTTCAGCCACAACCAAGTTCAAAGTAACTGTCGATGACAGGGATGGGGTTCCATTGTCTTTCACCAGAACCATAATTTTTTGCCTGAAAGAAGCCATATCAGGAATGTCTCTGCCTAGTCTAATTTCACCAGTGTATTGACCGATGTTAAGTAAAGATGGATCAGGAACTTGGAGTAAGTGATATGAAAGCCAGGCATTGTGGCCAGAGTCAGCATCCACTGCAATCACTTTGGTCACTAAATAACCTTTTTCAGCAGAGTGAGGAATAAACTCAAATAATGTTGATCCTTCATTGTCTGAAGATGGGTAGAGAATCTTAGGGGCATTATCATTCTTATCAATGATACATAATCTCACTCTGACAATACTGCTTAGAGGAGGAGATCCACTGTCTTTGGCCATCACCTGGAACTGAAGCTCTCGTACCTGTTCATAGTCAAATGGTCGCTGAGCATAAAGAACCCCAGTCATTGAGTTTATAGAAATATAAGAGGATATAGGTATATCCTCAGAACTGTTGGTAAGTAGCGAATAAGTAACTCTTGCATTCTCTTTATAGTCACAATCTGTAGCACGTATCCTGTATAGAGAAGTCCCAGATAGATTATTTTCCTGAGTGTAGATAACATAGTTTGTGTTCTCAAAAACAGGACGATTGTCATTCACATCAGAGACAGACAGTTTTATGCTTTTAATGACTGACAATGATGGAGTGAGCCTCTATCCACAGCTTTGATGGTGATGTTATATTCGCTGACTCTTTCTCGGTCCAAGTTAGCCGAAGTCATAAGCTTGTAGTAACTAGTAGACGATGGAACCAGCTGAAAGGGTAATTTCCCATCAATATCACAAACAATTTCACCATTTTCTCCAGTGTCCATATCATAGATATTAACAAGAGCTATAACCATCCCAACTGGTGAATCTTCAAGAACTGATTCTGTTAGAGAAGTAATTGTTATATCAGGAACATTATCATTAACATCTACAACTTGTATAAATACCTTACAGTGAGCACTCAGATCACCACCATCTTTAGCTTCCACTGTGAGCTCAAACTTGTCTTTCATCTCATAGTCTAAGCTTTCTGTTAATATCATTTCACCTTTTAGAGAGTCTATTGCAAATAGTTGTCGAGCATTTTCAGGAACATCACTAAGAGAATACGATATTTGAGCATATGACCCTTCATCATCATCTGTAGCATTCAGCTGAAGAATTAGAAAACCAACAGGAGTATTTTCTGGTAGGAATACCTGATATATATCTTCAGCAAATATTGGGTAATTATCATTGACATCATGAACTTTGATCTTTATTAAAGCTGTCCCACGCTTTACAGGTTTTCCTCCATCAAAAGCAGTTAATATTAGTTCAAAATAATTTTGTTTCTCTCGATCAAGAGGCTTGTCCAGCACAAGTTCTGGATGCTTTTTACCATTGACACTTATTTTTTCACTAAGGATAAAACAATCATTGTCGCTGAGTTTATAACCCTGCAAGGAATTGGAACCGAGATCTGGATCTTTTGCAGGGCTAAGTGCAAATCGAGTTCCAGGCACAGTCGATTCGCTGATTCCTACATCAAAAGTACTCTTAGAAAAGGTTGGAGAATTGTCATTAACATCTAGTATTTCAACATTAATAGTATAAAATTGTAGGGGGTTTTCCATGACTGCTTCCACATTTATAGAGCAAAATTGTTGGGCCCCACATAATCTTTCTCTGTCTATTCTATTTGCAACATAAAGATCTCCATTTTGGAAACTAATGTTGAAATACATTTTTTTGGCACGTGAAACAATCTGAAATTTTCTAATTGATAAATCTTTAACATTTAAATTCAAATCCTTTACAGTATTTCCTACTACAGATCCTTGTTTCAGCTCTTCCTTGACTGAGTACTGAAGCTGAGCAGAAATAAGACCACAATTGCAAAGAGAAATCAAAAATGTCACTTGCCATTTCATGGTCCTGTGCAGGGATCCAAACATCTTCTTTCTGTTTTCACTCTTTAGTAGATAAAATCCTGGGGCATAAAAATATATATATATGATTTAGGCATGAAGGAGACAAGGAAAAGCATGCAATGTTGCAAATGTTTGCCTCTGAAATGTTCTGTAAGAAACAGTAGAGCTGCACATTTAGCTAGTTTAGTTTACTTATGGTCAACAGTGCCATCCAGGGGTTAAAATGAGGAACAGCAGCCAGTTGTACTGAGAAAATGTTTTTCAAGCAGTCATTTCATGTATGTTAATGAAACAAAAGCAATAATAAAAATCAGGATGCAATGTTTTTAATATGTGCTGGAAACGATTGATTTAATAAATCTATGAATGTTAAATTGCAAACATGTGAACAAGCCTTAAAATCTGAGGAAGGAAGGAAGGAAGGAAGGAAGGAAGGAAGGAAGGAAGGAAGGAAGGAAGGAAGGAAGGAAGGAAGGGAAGGGAAGGAAGGAAGGAAGGAAGGAAAGGAAGGAAGGAAGGGAAGGAAGGAAGGAAGGAAGGAGGGGGAAGGAAGGAAGGAAGGAAGGAAGGAAGGAAGGAAGGAAGGAAGGAAGGAAGGAAGGAAGGAAGGAAAGAAAGGAAAGGAAGGAAAGGAGGGAGGGAGGGAGGGAAGGGAAGGGAAGGGAAGGGAAGGGAAGGGAGGGGAAGGAAGGAAGGAAGGAAGGAAGAAAGAAGAAAGAAAGAAAGAAAGAAAGAAAGAAAGAAAGAAAGAAAGAAAGAAAAGAAAGAAAGAAAGAAAGAAAGAAAGAAAGAAAAGAAAAAAAAGAAAAAGAAAGAAGAAAGAAAGAAAGAAAGAAAGAAAGAAAGAAAAAGAAGGAAGGAATTAGGAACATAAAAATAGAAGTAATACGCTGTATCTACATCATATATTAAATAATTCTGAAACAGTATTTTATTTATCATAAAAAGTTATAGCTTCACTAACGGTAAATCATTTCCGTATTAGAAAGTCATTCTTCTTCAACTCTACATCTTGATTTCCAAACCTATTTCCATACAAGACGGAAATTGTTATTGAGTTTTATTACTTAAAGATATAGAAATAATGGAACTATAGTTAAAAATATAACAGGTTACTATCAGTATACAAGCATTAGGGTGAATACTCAGTGGTAAGGTTTATTTCCACATTTTGACAAGGTGCAAACTTCTGAGGAAGACGAGCTTCGACTCAATGAAACATCAAAATAAACCTTAGCAATAATTGTTCACTTCTCAAGCCTTGTGAGTGCCACCTTATCTTTTCAATTATAAATATATATACAGTATATATATATATATATATATATATATATATATACTTTATATAGCTAATTTTTTTAGCAAACTAATCTCATCACATTTACCCATACCCCCAATCCTAGGTAACCCATTATTAATCCATCTTGGAATCACCTGGGGCATTTATTTGGTAAAGCTCGTATCATTTCAAATATATATTTTCATTTATTAACAACAACTCTATATACAGCAGGAATTTCATATTCCACACATGAACATTTTCCAATACATGTAAATTACACATTTTGAAAATTACACATTTCACTCCAACTCGAACCTCCCTCACTTAATAAATCTCAATTTAGGTACACAACTTTTCATTGCTAAACAAACCATTGCCAAGGCATGGAAAAAAACAATTTGTATATTTTGCAAAAACTAAACAACAAACAATGAAAAATGAATAAGGCTACCTATGGACACGTGTAAGAAATTTCTCAGTGTGTTCCCCATTGATTCAAAATGCCCATGCCTCACTGTCAAGAGACAGCTATTCTTTCCTATAAACATTACAATGAGGGAAGAATACATTGGAAACTTCAGAGCCTTCTCTTTCTATCTCTAAATCTCTACTTCCTACTTCCTTCACCCAAAGGAGGTTCCCTCTTTTGGCTAGAGCCATACTACCCCGTGTTATCCTTAAAGATCCCCCTTTTCCTTTCTTCATCCTCTTTATCTTCCTCTTTTGCCCTCTTCTTTCCTTTCCGCACCTCTTCAGTGGCAGGGGGAATATTATGATGTACACATTCCCTCCAAGTTAGTGTTTATTAATAAAAATCTGCCAAAGAAAGAGAATTATGTAGCACTTTGTACACAAAGTCTTCACCCTATGTAAGCTCATTAATGGCAACAACGGACATTATGTGATCCTCTATAATGAAATATAGAAATGAAAAATGTCTTACTTTAAATAGAGGTCCAGCCAAAACATTTCTAAGTTTTGGAGAAACCAGCAAACAGCAAGTATCATTTTTACCATTCCATAGTAGATACTTTATTGAAATATATAAGAATGCCCTTAAATAGGGTAAACAAAAAGTTCAACCATTGTTCATGCTGTCGAATTTAATCATGCTAAAATTAATTTTTTACATCATCTCTCAATGAGCCATGAAAAGGAAATGCATATATATGTGATTTTACACTTCCATCATAGGGCGGAACAGAGCAGTGCTCTGTTCTGACAGGAGGGGAGTGAAGTATCAAGTGTCTCTGCAAAGCTGGGAACACGATCCTTCACTTCCCCTAGTAAAAGCACCACCAACTGTACACTAAGCACATTGCTCATTAGTACAATGTAAGTGCATATATTTAGCATCACTGGTTCCTAAGTGTCAATTAGTGTAATCATGTCCGGCGCAATATCGCAGTCCCGCTATAAGTCACATATCACCGCCATTACAATATAAAAAAAATAAATAATTCCAGTATACAGTATGTCCCATAGTTTGTAGACACGATAACTTTTGCACAAACCAATCAATATCTATGCCTTTTGAGATTTTTTTTTCTTACCAAAAATATGTAGCAGAATACATTTTGGCCTACATTTATGAAGACATTTGAGGTTTTTAATTTTTTTATTGGATATGTTTTATTGCAGAAAATAAAAAATATTTTTTTTTCAAAATTGTCAGTCTTTTTTTGTTCATGGAGCAAAAAAATGCAGAGGTGATTGAATACCACCACAAGAAAGCTCTATTTGTGAGAAAAAAAGGACATCAATTTAATTTATGTACAGCAATGCATGACCATACAGTTGTCAGTTAAAGTAACACAGCACCCTATCACAAAAAAATGGCCTGGTCAGGAAGGGGTGGTAAATCTTCTGGAGGTCAAGTGGCTAAAGAGACAGCACAGTAAACAAAGTTGCTTTGTAGCTCACTCTCTCTGAATAAAAGCTTGTACTTGAACCACATGTTAATGCTATGATAACTCATTATGATCTGTGGACAGCACAGATTGACAGAGAATGATGAAATAGATACATTTGTAAAAAAGACTTGCTCTCTCATGCAATATTTTATATTTACCTATGCATAATTTCTTTTTTAATTC